CGGTCCTTCTTTTAGATGACCTAACGTCTTAAAGAAGCCGCGGGACGAACAAGACTTCCACCTTGTCCGTCGCTCAACTTAATCTCAACGCCAAGTCATTTTATTCGCGTCCCGCGGGACTATATGCCATTACGTTGATCGCCGTGCACGTGGGCGTGTCTTTAGGCGGTGTCCAGACCGATGCCGTCACCCATTCATTAAGTGATCGACAAGGCTGATGTCTCGGTCTGTCCCTTTATCCCACTGGTTTCTCTTCTCCTTACTGCTCTCAGTATTCCCTCTCGTTTAGTCCTCTCTTTGCTTTGAGCCTCTGCTTAGCACCCCCAGGTGGAATCCCAGGTGAGCCCCATTGTCCAATTCATTGGTTTGTGGGTCCACAATGACTCAACCGTTCCATTTATAGAAATAGAACAATTCAATCGTGCACAGTCTCCAAAAAGAAGCCTCTCAGATAAACTCAAGGCACCGCAGTCAGGCATTATAAGCCCTGGGCTTGCGTCGCCTTTCTTCCTTTTCTCCCACCACGACGATTTCCCTCTTGTCGTCTCCTCTTGTCGTCGTCGGCCATGCCTCCCAAGCATAAGCCTCCATCGTCCTCTGGCTCATCCAGCGCATCGCCCGGACCTCCAGAATTCCCTATTCAGTACTCCAACATCGATGGCGTGTCGTGGCGGGTAACTGATAACTATGGCCGCGCCCTTGACCCCTTCATCAAGCTTCGAGGTCGTTCCACTATCGAGCTCAAGTCTCTCCTCTTGAACAAGGCCAAGTTCAACGAGGTGGATAAGAGTGACGACGCCGTCTCTCTTCCTCGCCTCCTGGTCCTCAACTTAGAGGTCCTGGTAAGCACCGATCCTCTCTATCTTTTAGAGTCCAACTAAATTTTATTCTAGGACTTCAACAAACGGGCTTGGGTCAACCGTGATCAACCTGAGGAATTCCATCGCCTGTTCTACCCCCTCAGGTCGTTCTTCCGGCGCCTCCAGTACGAGGAGTACGCTCCCGAGTTCAACGGTCTGTACGAAAAGTGGAAGTACTTGATGCCGGAGTCCCGCGATCCCCCGTGAGTCCACCCCGTTATAAGTTCGCTCAATCTTTTCTGATTCCTTTCTTAGCCCGAGCCGCTTTCCACCAAGTGGAAGTACCCGCCGCAGCAATTCTACTTCGTTCGTGAGGAGCCGCCCAAGAACACTCGAGAAGTGCCCAAGGTGGAGATCCCTGACCCTAAGTACGTTCCCTTCCTATTGTTTCTGTTTCTTCCTAACTAACTTCTTCTTTAGAAGCGCCGTTCTCTTCGTTCGGGACCTTCTCCTGTCAAGCGGGGCCCGCCGAAGACGAAGTCCAAGCAAACGGTCGATTCGTCCGGCGACGAGTCGAGTCCCAAGCGTCTCAAGAAGGGCTCTCGCAAGCGTCACCCCTCTCCTGATTCTATAGCGTCGGGGGAGGATGAGGTTTCAGAGCGGGAGGTGGTCACCAAGCCACCGAAGAAGAAGGTTAAGTTGGAGGTTAAGAAGTACGGCGACAATGAGGTTCGTCTTTCCGTATTTCTTTTCCTTTTGTTTTAATTATCCTCCAGATGCCCGATACGTCGACCAACCCCCAGGCTTACTACGACCACAAGTTGAACGACTTCCCGGACAAGAACCTCGACAGTGTTCCTCCCGAGGAGCACTGGAAGTTCGACACCCGTGTTGTCACCGCCAACGCCGTCACTCGCGCTTCCGCCTCCAAGTTGCCGACCACTCCTCGCGGCGCGCCCTGGTTCCCCTCGAACCAGAAGACGCCAATCACGACTACTCTCGGCTCCACCGGGCACCAGTTCCAACTCCAGAAATACCCGCCTATGGTTCCTCGTTTTGAATCGTTCCCCAGATCTCTCAGACCAAGACGAGAGAGATCTTCAAGCCGGTCCTTTCTCTTCTTCGCGATGTACGTTCTTTCTTTCTATATTTTTCAACGTCTAACACTCTTTTAGCCCGGGTTTTCTTGTATAGAATGTATTCTCAGTAATTATTTCTGTGAATTCCGCGGCTTCAATCATCTGTGTACCGCGTGCGAGAGCAAGTCCCACAAGGCTTGTTCTTTCAAGTACAACGACGCCCAGTTGGAGCGTGCCCGCCTTGAGTTGCTTCCGTGGGTCGATACTGGGGAACGCCGTGAGTCCTTCTTTACTCTTCGCGTCCCTTCACTAATTGCCTCTTTTTGATAGAAACCCTCTATCTCATTGCTGAGCTTCACGCATCCATGGTCCGCGCCACCATCGCGCACCAGGCGGCGTGTTTCGAGACGCAAGAGATGGCCGACAAGTTGGCCGCCTTCAACGAGCACGCCGACGACGTGATCAAGATGGTCGGGGTTGACTGTTTCAACGAACGCTTTACGGAGTCGACCTCTACCGTCTCGATGCGCGATTGGGTTGCCCGTCTCACCGACCGCGCCAACGACCTCGTCTCCCAACAGTCCGCGCGTCTCGACTCCAAGCACGTTGCCCGCTTCAACCCCAACCCAGACGCTCATTCTGGCGCTGGTGGTTCTGGCGTACGCCCAACAACACCTTCCTTCAAACAACTCGAGGGTGGATCCGCGGATGGGAACGATGGGCTTGATCTTGGTCAGGAAGCCCCCGCTCGTTCCCCTTCGCGATCCGGGTCCTTTTCCAGCGAGGAGGGTGACCAGTCGGCCACCGAGGGTCTTGTCGAGGAGGAAGTTGTGGAGGAGGAGGAGGCGGTTGCCATCCCCAAGCCTCACCGTCGCGACCGTTCGTCTTCGTCCACTCGCGGATCTCCTCCTGGTAAGTTCTTCTTAACCTCTCTTTTCAAGTTCTGTTTCTGACTTAGCTGTTTTCTTTTGCAGCGCCGCCCAAGAAACCCGTCTCCAAGAAGGCCAGCTCGTCGCCCGACAAACCCAAGGCTTGAATGGTGAAGGGCACCGTTCTCCCTTAGGTTTGTCCCTCCTTGGAGTCTCGTCTTTTCTTTTTCCGTCTCTCGCTCCCGGTTCGACATCAACTTAATCATGCATTCTACTTGATTACTTTAGATACTTCACCGTCGGAGCGCATCCACGTATATTGTCTCGTTGTCTTTCCTGTCGCTCGTACAACGATTCTTTATCTTAGATTTACTCGTAGTCAATCTTTTAGATAAAAGTTTCGTTTACTTCTAGTTTTTGTAGTGTCCTCTTGTAGCCAATGTATATTTCGGATTTTGGCATTCAAACTTAGCGTGAACCAAGTAAGAACTCAACTTGTCATTCAAGACTTGGCGCGAACCAAGTAAGAATTGGACTTAGAAGAATTTTGCACAATTCAACTTTGGTACTTGTTGACCAAACGGATTATTGTGATCCGTCTTTTCGGGCATCACCGAATTCCTTGACATCGCTTATAAGACAACTACCCCTTTTGTACGCTACCTTTCAATCCATCATGCCTATCCGGAACGAATTCGAAGAGTATGCGCTATACATGCTTGAGGATAACTTGGTAAGTCTTCTTCAGCAACTCGCTTTCTCTCTTTTTGATTCCTGAGGCATCTATTAGCCTAGCAATCCTTGCTTTCACTGCCGTGAACTTGGTGTGGAATGCATAGTCCGTTCTTGGGGTCGCGCCTGTGCTCTCTGTGAACGCCGCCTGGACACCAAATGCTTTCTCCTGGACGTGGAATCCTGGGATATGTTCTGGCAAGACCACGGGCCTCAGATGCAGCATGGTGTGTCTCAAAACTTCGCTTCTTGACCACCCTAACCCCGTCTAGACGTTATGTTCGGCCGCGACAAATATCCTTTGGCCACTCTTCAGTCCACTGTGCCACGCGCTTTCGAATACCTGCGCCGCTGCTATTTCAACAAGACTCGCGCTCGTTACCGAGAACGTCTTGCCGGTATTCCCGACCGCGATGCTCTCATGACCGTGTATTTGAACTGGTCTCTTCACAAGTTTGGGCGCCAGGCGATGAATCTGATCGAGCGTAGACTTGAAATGTAGTCTTCCATACTCCTACGATTCATTTGTGACGTCTTGTGCCTAATTTCTCATTCTTGATCCGAACCAAGACACCCCTAGAAGGGTATATAAGCCTTATTGACGTCCCAAGACTAGTCCAATCTCTCTCTCTTTACTATGGACGAGTTCGATATCATGATTGGCGGCGCTCCGCGTCATCTCAGCCCTGTCTTGGCTGAAGACACCCCTCAGTTCCCCGAAGTTGCTGCCCTGTTGATTTCCCGCCGGGTCCGTTCATCTTTTGGCTTCTTTTCGCGACTCTAATCGCTCTTTTTGTAGCCTCGCGACCCCTGCTCCAACTGTGCTAGACTGGAACGTCTGTGCAACTTTGACTGCTGGTCTAGTGCCTGTCGCGAATGCGACCTGACCATGGCTACCAAATGTTCTTTTACCAAGTACGAGGAGTGGGAGGAATTCGCCAAAAGAACGGACCGGGAGACTAACGAGCGTCTCGGTGCGTCTTTTTCTCCTTCTGGTTACTTGAACTGAACCACTCTTAGTCCACTTCCCTGATTACGCCGCTCAAGTTGCTATGGAACGCGCCCAGGAGCTTTATCCGCTTGTCCATGTCTTTTTCATTGCCAGCCGCATCATTACGCCCTTCAAGACGTTTGCCGCCTTCCAGAACGTCTTTAACGCTTTGGACGCTACTGTTGCCAACGAGCTCGCGCGCACCCAGTTCGCCAAGATGATGCCACCCGAGTTCCGTGATATCTTGTACCAACGAGTTCGTTACCACAACGCTAGGAGTGAGGGACCTGACATTATCCCTATCGAGAGGACGGATGTTTATCTTGAGGGCGAGGGCCGTGTAGACGACTCTGACGATGAAGACTATTTTCCTCCTTCTCCTTTTGCTCCGTCGCGTTCTGTTGATCTTTCGGAAATCCATATTCCTACTTATCAGAACGTGGTGCCTGCCCAGTCTTCTTCGTAGTTTTCTTGCCAGTTTTTGCTTAATAGAATCATGTCTTGTGTCGTTCAAGAACACTTTTAATGACCCTACCTAGCTCAACCGGATAGAGCGTCAGAGATCTAATCTGAAGGTTGCGAGTTCGACCCTCGCGGTAGGTGTGTGTCGAACTCTTTTGCCACCTTGTACGTTCAGCTCCAATCCACTCTCAAGGGCTAAACCTTCTAGAGACTCTCTTTTGGCATAACTCCTGAACTCAGTGCACCGTTTCCGTTCCTCTGGACGTTGCATTGGTCTTTCCGTCTGGAAACAACCCCCTATCCTTAATAGGAACCTGATCCGGTGATGCGCACTTATTCTTGTCGCTCAAGTTGACGTCTTTTTGAATAGAGGTGGAACCCAAGCCACATATTGGCATTCAGTATCCAGTGTTCTAGACGCGTAGTAAGGTTCCAACTTGACAGTCTGTCAGTTTAAGCAAATCTCATCAGAACTGGTCTGTCGAAATTCGCAAATTCACAGCCCCTCTCCCCCTTCTTTTAAATTGTAACTGTCCTCAGTTACTATCTCATGATTTCCAGATACAATTTAAGGGCGTTGACCGTCCCACTCAGACTAATCCCACTTGCCCACACTCATACTCGAATCTTCATGGCCGCCGTATCCGAACCCACTTGTCCCGAAGGTCTTCCCGCCGAGCTCTGGAACAATATCAACAAAGTCTCTCGCGGCATCGACACCCCATTCAAGGCGCGCGACGTCGCTCTTGAGTTCATTGCCTCCAATGCGGCCCTTCTTGTACGTGTACCGGTTATCCATTCGACAACCTTCTCTAACAAGACGCAGGCCCCTCTTTCCGAATTCGTCGAGATTGCCGCAGGCAGCAGTTTCATTCGCGACACCCTCTTCTCGGTCAAGTCCGCTTGGGCCGCCAATTGGGCTGGCGCGAAAGGCGAGTGGGACCCCAACGTCAAGGGCGTTATCGCCATTCTCGAGGCCACCGCCCGTGTTCGTGCTCGTGTCAAGGCCGATGCGCAGGCTGCAGTCGCCGCTGCTCGTCGGGAGAAGGAGTTGGCTAGAGAGTTGGCTAAAGAGGTGAAGGAGAAGGCTAAGCCTGCCAAGAAGGGCAAAGCCAAGGCGCGTCTCTACTTTTCCGTCTTGAACCGCTCTCTTACTCTCCCGTAGTCCAAGAAGATCAAGAAGTCCGCCGAACACGTTTCCCCTTCCGACGTCGAATCCGAGGACGGCGAACAAGGTGAAGACGATCCTATGGATGGTTCCGCAGCCGTTGTTAATCCGGTAAGCAGAAATCGAACGCCTTGTCAAGGAGATCGTTGAAAGCCTGACGGATATCGAACAGGGGCCCGACGTTCATGCTCCAGTTGAATCCACTTCTTCTCAGTCCGCTATCGTTATAGACGACGACGAGGACGACACCGTCTCCGAGCCCGCCAATGGACGCAACGTTCGTGTGCCATCCTGTTTCTAGATTAACCTTAACTCCGTCAATCTAGAAGGCCAATACCAACCACAAGGCTCGTCGGGCTTCTTCTGTGAGTCTGCCCCACCCTCTTTTTATTTAAAGGGTATTGAGCGTCTCCAGGCTGCCGTTGAGGAGGCTCTTATGAGAGGTCAGGACAATTCCAATCCACGCAAGCGTCGCTATGGTACGTCACGGCACACGTACGACGACTCGCATCCAACCTTCAATGGTATTGTCATCTTGACCAAATTCCCCATTCTGACCCATCCAAATAGAACCCGAGATGCGTACAGAGGGCGAGGTTCTTGCCGCCTGCCGTCGTATCATGACCGCTGGACGCGACCACTCATTCGACAACGACGCCATCCTCCGTATCGAACGCCAAGTCCGCACCAACATGGACGTGTGTGGGCACAACATCGCGTTCGAACTCCGTTGCTTCGAGGCTCTCAAGTCCGAGCACATTGGCGTCCTCAAGATTATGGAGGAGCGCAAGCTCACCCCTCTTGTTGAGGCCGTCTTTCACAAGTAGGCAAGTCCCATCTCTACCCGTGCTCGGTCCTTCTTGACGAGTTTCTCAGTGCTGTACCCGACATCTACTACGACCCAGGCACACGTTTACAGCTCCCATACCCGTATCGTGGCATAGTCACTGCACCTCAGTCTTTACTCGAGCAGAACGGCGTGCACTTTATTTGATACTCGTCATCCACTCTTTTAACACGTCCAACTCGTATCACGATCATTAACTTCTCCGTATATCCATGTTAGCAGCTTAGTTCAATTTTACTTGTTCCTGGCTCTTTTGGACCGCCTCGGATTCAGCTCGTCGTATACAGGTGTCGGCGCAAGGTCCTCGTCCGACAATTCTCCGTCACTCTGGTACTCGTCTGACAATTCGTCTGGATCCATTTCTTCCCAGTCTGGACGTAGGTTTACCCTATGGAACTGTAGATCTTTCCCCAGATACTCGTCGTGAACGTCTTCTTCTGCAGCCAAGTCGTCCAATCGCTCTTTTCCTAGATCTATGAGATCCAGAATCTTTTCAGGCAAATCTAGCTTCTTGCGGGCCATATAAGGAACTACTCTAAACTGCGCAATCTTGCCATGCAACATTGCCCCGTTCATTTCGCAACATAAGTAGGATCCTCCTTTTGTTCGGCGGACCACTACCATAGGTCCCAAATAGCGTGATGCCATCTTAGTGTTAAGCGATTTTTCCACGGTTGTATTTCGAACAAGAACCATATCCCCAGTCCTGAAGTTATAATCCTTGATCGTATGCGCGTGTTCTTTCTCGTAGCGCCGCACCGCGACTTGTTTCTCTGCAGGAACGTACCCCCCGCATAACCCATTCTAGTAACCACCCGATTCAAATTTTGAAAGTGTTCCCAAACGAATCTTCGGATACCAGGGTTCTCTGGAATTCTCTCGTGATCACCATCCGCTGTCTCATATCTCATGGCCGGGCCACGTACTGCTACATCATCAATGTACGGAATCGTAACATGCGGTATCTCATCTTGTAAGATATAAGTGACATCGTCGTGAAAGATCGGAACTGAATTAGTCCAACCCATCGGTAGTTTAACCAACCTCAGCAACCCAAAGGGTGTTTGAAAGGTGGTGTAGTCCCTTGAAGTCTCTGCCAGGTCCCGATTATCATATCCCACGTACATATCTAACGTTGCACCGCATGCCCTTCCCGCAAAATGCTCGGCCAGCTTCTCCGTTCCAGGGGTTACCCCAGAATGTTGAATAGTGACCTCGTTCAACCTCTCCAGAGCGTGTACTATCCTCAGTGACTTTCCATCTTTCTTGATTACCGCAAAGATAGGTGAACGGTAGGAGGAGTTTGACGGTTCATAAACACCAGCATCAATCTTCGACTTAATATTCTTGCAAAATTCATCGAAATGGCCAGGTGGGATGGGTATCTGCGAGCACACCCACGGCGTGTGTTTCACGACCGGCATCTCCACAGGCGGAAAGAACTCGTGCTTGCATTGCCCTCTCTCGCTCTCTTCCCAGGCGAAGTTTTTCTCGTGCTGCATCATAAAATGGTGCGCAAATTTGAGTTCTTCTTCGTTCATCAGGCCACCTTTGTGCACACTATCAATGTACTCCTTTCGTTCCGCCGTATACCTTCCCGTAGGAGTAAACTCCGGTGGATTAGGATTTAATGTAGGCAAGTCCTGCAAGGGGTCTCCAGTAATCTTCCTTTCAATCCTGAATTTCTCCGGTAACTCAGCCAAGATTGGTTTAATCTTGTCTGCTACTGGCTTGTACTTCTTTCCTAGAAAGGTTGCCTTCGCAGACTCCCCCTCTATTATAGAAGGTACCATATCAGGCCCTTTATTCACCTTGGTATCCGCCCTAGGCATGTCTTGGGTAAGAGGTGTTCGCTCCTTTGCTTCCTTTTGATGGTCATCAAAACTTGAATCCCTAGGAACCTTAGGAACTTCCGGCATCTTCGGCCAAGTTGCGCCTTTAATTCGCTTCCCTAGTACTGGCATTCCCCCCCTGGTATGGTCTTTCATCAGCCACATAACTTTGCGAGTCATTTTCCCCGTGTTCACTGGCTTTTTAGGACGTTTCTCAGGTTCCGGGGACCCTTTCGCCCCTCTTTCTCTCCTGGTTGGAGGGTCCGCTTCACTATATACGAAAACGTCCATACCCGGGTCTTTTTCCAAGTCCCCAATATATTGGTTTAATAACTGAGCAGCGTCCTTATCCTCCTTTACAGCTTCTTGAGAGGCGCATAGGTATGCCATTCTTTGGTCAGCTTTCGTCGCCTTTCTGCCCTCTTTTGGCGAACCATACCCCGTGCAAATCAGCCGCCCTTCCTTGTCATAGTCCCAGGTAGTCATAAGTTCTCCCCCGTCATCGAGTTCCTCAAACAGACTCAAAAATCCTGGTCTGGACTAGGCTTTTCTGATTCGCTATCTGCCGACTCCTTCAACGGCTTGTCCTTCTGGAGTACTTTCCTTGTTCCTCGCTTATAGGTAGGTAGCGTTAACCGCGCACCTGTCCTAGGGTGTTTCATGGTTAAGGTAGTTTCTCCGTTTGCCAGAGTCGAGACTATACTCTCCGTGATGATGTCAAAGGGTCGGCCTAGCAGGCATTCATATGGCGCAGAACGCAAAATGTGAATCTGAAGGTATACCACAATGTTTTCCATCCTGAAGGGTATGTTCCTAGCTAGGCCTAGCGTTTTCTCAAACTGGCCATTCGCACTCTGCATCAAAATCTGCACATCTGGGTCCCAAGGCACGTTAAGTTGTGCCGCGGTGGACTCAACCATTGACACAATCTGTGATCCTGAATCCAATATAGATTCTACGCGCAACATCCCATTTATGACCGGGAATATACATCGTAAGTGAGCTGAAGGTAGGCTAGCATAGATGATTCTAGGTAGCTCGCCCGGTGCCAACGAATCCAGATATTGAGTTACTGGATCCTCCAACACGTACGCTCCTTCGGCATATGCGCTACCGCTTGGTTCATCACCCAAGGTGCTTCGTCAAACTCAAGATCATTAATTGATATCGCGTCCACCGGCAGACTCATATACTGCGCAGCTCTATTTAGTACGTTCAAATTTCTTACTGCTAGTGGCTTGGTTTTGGGTCCCCCCAAGACTGGCACCATAGTAGCTGAAAATTTTTGAACATC